GAAGGCGGGGGGGCGGAAGGCGGGGGAAGGTGCGGGCGGGAAGGCGGGGCAAGGTGGGGGATTGAACACGGGGGATTGAAGGCGATACTTGTAAAATGCCATAAGCTTGATTTTGTTTGTGTACTTGTGCAACAACTCCCCGAAAAATATTTTTTCTTCTATCAAACAAACCATTAGCTGTTTAAGGTATTCCCTTAAACAACTTGTTTAAGGTATTCCCTAAATTAGTTTTGTTGTTTATCTTCTTGACTCCATTTTGTTATGATTTCCAAAATACTAGTTTGCTAAAAAAACTTGGTGATTGCAAATGGAACATGGGTTCCGGAAATGAAAAAAATATAGTGTTTTGAAAATTAATCTTGTAGTTTTTGACTCAGTCCAGTTTTCATGAAATGTTTACTTTTCACGAATAACTTGTTAAGGGTACTTGTTGGTTGAAAGTCCCCGCAGGGCGGGTGCTTACCTGTGACCGTGACTTTGAAGTTTGCAGCGGGGAAAACACTCAAGTAGCGGGGGTAGGCCCACTACACTTAGAGCAGTGGGGAAAAAACACTCAAGTAGCAGGTAGGCCGGTACCACTCAAGTAGTGGTAGAAGTGTCGGGCACTGGAGGCCGACCAGAAGAAGACAAAAAGTTGGCATTTTTAGAGGCCCAGTAGTGGTAGGTTAGAGGTAGGCCGGTACCAGTCCAAGTAGCCCAGGTCTAGGGCCTGTCCGGACGATAGGAGAGCCTACAATGATGTTTCCCTCCGAAAGGGAGGAGGTACCGGTTGCTGGGAGGTCGCTCGGCCTAGAAAGTCACCGCCCAAGAGGCCAGTAGGCCGCTATATCTTCCGGAGGAGCAAGTAGCTCCTCCTCATTTGCGGTATGCAAGGATTGGCGGCATGCTGCGGAGCCAAGCGCTGGACTGGTACAACGCTGCTGGGAGGTGAAGGGCAGCTGGGCGCTCAGACTGGCTATGGCGAGAAGCCCAGCCTGAGGAGGAGGAAGAAGGGGGTGAAGGAAGAGAGTGGCGAGGCACCTACCTGGCTATGGTGGACACCATCTTCAACACCTTGTTTGGTGCTGCATCTGGAAGGCCCCAGTTGGGGTAGTGCCGCACCAAGGAAGCTCGAGGCAGAGTCAGGCATGGCGGCTTAGTCAACAGTAGCATAGCTGCTTTGGGTTCTCCTTTGGACAGGAGTGCAGCGCCATAGCTGCTTGTGTTGTCCTGTGCACAGAGAGGGGCAGAGCCCTCAGTTGTCCGCCATAGCCTAGGCTTGTGAGAAGTGGAAGAAGGGGGGAATCCATAACTATGGTGGACCTGTTGTGGTTGTTGTTGTGTCAGCAGTAAGAGGGAACTTCGGATATTGAGTCTGGTTCATCCACTCATTGTTATTATTATTATTGGGAAGAAGAATAGGATTGGAGTAGTTAAGGAGAAGGTGGAGAGAGAAGGGGGATTTGTCATTGGCCTTGCTGGTGTACATCTACTTCTTCTTCTTCTTCTTCTTCTTCTTCTTCTTCTTCTTCTTTCTCTCTTCTCTGGTCTCTATCTCTTTGCAAGTGCTTTCATTTCATTGTGAATTTGCACTTTGGGAATGACCAGGATCGTAACATGTGTTTTTTTCTGCTCCGCCTCTAGGCACCTTTTTCCGGAAACGGTTACGGTATCTATTGGTGCAAACTGACGGCCCTGTCCTCTCTCAGTAGTACCTTGTAATACTGTTCCTCCGGGGCGACGCTAGTTGCTCTGTCGTGACGATTTCCTGCCTATCTCCGACTGCATCTGCGCTCCCCTCCAGTGGACTTCTTCTTGCGCAAGAACGATTTTAAACCTCTGTCTGTTCTGTCTCTCCTTCTGACCTCTGACCTTAACTGTGTCTCTCCCATAACCTCTCCTCTTAGTGCTCCTCTGCTTTCTCTTCTTGACCCCTCCTGCTGCGCTACTGCCTATCTATGGGTTATCCTTCCAACGGTGGATACCAGTGGATACCGGGTCTTTTTCGTCATCTCCCACGTTTTGATGAACGATTCGTCTTCAAAAGCTCTCATCGCAGGTGCATGGTTTTGAGAACGTGGTGCTTCCAATAATAGTAATCTGGAAGCGACTTGGCTGGTACTCAACGCACGACTTGAAGGGACGTGCTTCTCCTCCCCCGACCCATAGTCAACTCCTCGGTTATTCTTCCTTCTCTATTAATTTCCCTCTCTCTCTCTCTCTCTCTCTCTCTCTCTCTCTCTCTCTCTCTCTCTCTCTCCCTCTCTCTCTCTCTCTCTACTACACCTCTTGATGATTTTCTGGACCTTCCGTTCATCTACTCATTTTTCTTACCATGTGCTTTTACTTTTATCTCAGTCGGTACTGGATCAGTTTTCCTTCTGTCTTCGTGGATGCAAAGTGGTTTGTTTTTGATGTGTCTAGTTAGGAGTGGTCCTATGAAGCTTCGTGATGACGTTCCTTTCGTATTTAAGGTGGGTGAGGTAGCATATAGGTATGCGCAAGTTCTTTGTCCACTGATGGGGCCGTTTCTGGCGGAACGGCTGAAACACTTTAAGACTACCGCCAGCAGGGTGCTCTTATGTACTCTCACGTTCTTGGAACAAGAGTGCCTGATACCTTTTGCACATACTTGTCTATGGCTCTTTGTGCTCATATCTGGTCCTCTCTATCACTTTCCTTCTTGTTCTTCTCCTGTTCTGTGAGTGTGTCTCGTTTTCTCGTCTCCTTCCACCTCAAATCCTATCGCCCTTGAGGCTCTGCGCATTCGTTGTTGTGTTCTCTTTCTTCTGTGGTAGTGACTTAACCACTTCGTTAGTCGTAGACTGGTGTTGTCACATTGTAGAGTGGGATCTTTCCCTAAGCTTTGCCCATCCTTTGGATCTTTGCAACCTATGTTGTATTGAACGCTGAAGCCTTCTTACATTCCTCTCTTCTTCACCTTGTTTATTGTTCCTTTCTCTTCCTTTCTTTGTTTCTTCTTTCGTTTCTTCTTCTTCTTCTTCTTCTTCTTCTTTTTTCTCTTCCTTTCGTTTCGTATTGCATGGCATCTGTCATTTACTACCGTTTGATGATTCGACTTCAGTCGCGTGAACCGTGTCGTATTGAATCTTGCTTTGTTGGGTGTCTTTCTTGCTTTGTACGAGAGCTTGCTCGTCGTCTACCTGAGCTGAGGATGGACGCTGTTGTAAGTATCTTCGTTTGCACTCTTCCTACCTGCTGATTTCGAGATGGCGGATGGCGGGCAGTTTCCCCCTATGGAGAGGGTGTGCTATCACTGTCGGCAACATGGGCAATATATCATGAACTGCCCTTATTTGCATCGTCAAGACGGCCTGATCTCAAGAACTCCAGTTCCCCGATACGCTGCGAATCCCTCGTTTCTTCCTCCCCCTCCTCAGGTGCCGAATCAATCCTCTTTCGCTCCTTCTACACCACCGTTGAGCCAGGCTCTTCCCCAAACTTCGTCGCCGGCTTCCTCAAGTGCCATCGTTCGGTATCGCGTGAATTCTAACCCTGCGACTCTACCACCAGGGGGAGCTTGGGCTTCTAGGTCGCCATCCACTGATGGAGAGGTCGTACTGCTGATGAGGGAATTGGTGAATGGTAGAAGGGAGGAGAAAGATCGACATCGTCAAGAGGATGCCGTCACTTACAGGAGGAACAGAGTCGAATCATGAAGGAAGAAGAGAAGAAGCATGTGGAGCAAGAAGAGGCTCGTGAGGCAGAGAAGGAGGCGAGGATGACTCGCTTAATCAACTCCAAAATGGAAGAGTTGGACAAGCAGCACCAAGCAAGGACAGAGGAGGAGAGCAAGAAGATCTGGAAAGAAATTGAGAAGGCAGTATCAGATCCTGCTCGCAGTCGGAAACGCGGACAACTGGAGATGGAAGGGTCACCCCCTTTTCAACCGGTGAATGGAAAACCACGTGTGACGGAGCCTGCCAAAAACGTCGGCACTACTTTTGGCGGGCTTGATGCTGGACTGCTGCTGATGGAAATCGACAAGGTTAAGCGCTCCCAGGACTCCCAGGTCAGCGTCATGTGCCGTATGATGGATCTAGTGGAGAAGCTTAGTGCCTCAATACCTTTTATTCCCGTCCCTGCTCTAAATCCCATTATTTCTGATCCACCACTCCTTTCCGATCCCCCTCCGCCTCTGGCTTCATTTGCCTTCCCTCATCATTCCAATCCTCCTCCTCCTCCTCCTCCTCCTCCTCCTCCTCCTCCCCTCCTCCTTCTCCCCCCCCTCCTCCTCCTCCCCCACCTCCCTCATTTGGGATTAGGAAGAAGGTATCGGGCTCTGGAGCTGGGTCCTCTCGAGGAAAGTCTGTTGACAAGACTCTTGGTGTGAATCGTTTTTCTGCAAGACTTCCCGATATGTTTACATCGGTGGCCCGTAACCCGGTACGTCGGAGGAGATCGTTGTCCCCTCCCAGAAGAACAATTGAAAATGAACCATTGGGCTTTGATCGAGTGAACCCTGGAAAGAAGGTCGTTGTTGCTTCTTCAGGGAAGGACAGTCGTGTCAGATATGTGGAGGATCTCAAGAAGGAACTCCTGATTAAAATCAAGTACCAACTGGAATCGTTGTGCAAGGCTGGGAACATCAAGTATTTCAACAAGAAGCACGCGTCGACTGACCTTGCTGAGATCAGAGCTCGTGATGCTTACGGCGACGAATCTGAGGACAAGGGCCTTGACAACATCGACGCTGATGTCCAAGAGGAGAACCCCTCTTGATGATATGTGGATCCTACCGATCTATGGTACTACTAGTATTTGACTATCAAGATGAGATCCAACTGCGTAGTACATGGTGTTCAAAGGGAGATGTTGGAGGCTTGGGCACGGTTTTTGTTATTATGTCTGCCTTTTTCTAAACAACTTGCATGGGCTATCGAGTACCTTGGCATTTGGTCAGATCTATGTCGTGCCGGCTACGATATTTTTCTTCTCTGTTCCTCGTGTGTTTATGTTTTGATCTCTCCCTTGTTTCATGCTACGTACGTTGGCTCGACATCTCGTTCTATCTCAGTTCGATGGCGCGAACATGTAAACCTATCCTTCAATGGGACTGACCCTAGAAACCATCGGCTTCGTCAATGGTTTAGGAAGAATGGTTCCTCTAATTATGTTGCTATTCCTATTGCCTTTCCTCTTGCAGAGAGTTTCGGAGCGTAGAATCTTCTTTTATCTCACTCTGGTCACCTTCCTTAAACTCACGAGGAAAGCGAAAGAAGAATGGATGTAAGAGGGTGGGACGAAGGGAACGAGTCGCTTTTTCTCAAAGGATTGTGGGGTCGACTCGTCATATCTGTGTCGATCATCGGATTATAACTTTTGATTTTCATCCTGGTACTGCGATCCTCTCCACTACTTCCTCTCGTCCTTCCTACTCTCTGGTTTCCTCGCTCAATGCTTGCATCAACTCGGACGACTCCAAATTTTTGCATGCTACTGTGCGATGCTCTGGAGGAGACATCTTTTGTGATGCATGGAGTCGAATTGTGAGAATTTTTTGTCTCTCAACCGTCGTGGTCAATGGATGCACTACTCTGTTGAAATTTTGTTAAGTACAAATTGAAGGTTGGTTGTGTTTTTATCTGACCAGCATTTGCCACCACTTCAATGCTAGACTTAGGCGAAAATTCATCCTGATCATGCTTTTGCAACTTCTCTGGACTAGGAAGTTTTTATCTACCTTTTCGCTTCCAAATTTAATCAAGTTATTCAATTCGACTGAGGTGTTTTTTACTAACAAAACCAAAGGGGCACTGGAAAGAATTCTTGGCCCCTTGATTTCCAAGAAGGCAGGTTTTCCTTGTGTTAGCCCTCTCATTGTTAAGCTTAAGTACGGTGATTGTGTTAGTAAGGCCGTCGTGGCCAATGCCACTAAGATGCTTATAAGGAAATATATTAGTTCTGACTGTGTTGCTGCTTTCCGTATTACTAAAATGAGAGTAGTCTGGACCATGAGCAAGTTAATTGGTAAACTGATTCATAATCATCGCATCTGTGCAACAGAGATAACGGTTGATTGCTCATGTTCCTTGTCTTCCTCTGAGCTTCCTCGCAATAACAATCACCACGTATGTTTTTGATTCTCTGAGCTTGACACTCTTCCTCACACCCTCCTAAACTCCAACAACAGTTATAAACCTCTTGCACACATCTCTACAAGGTATGTTAAAGGCGTTGTTTATTCCTCATTATTCAGGATACCCGGAAGTTCATCGTTTCGGATTCATCACTCCAATTGGTAAGTATGCTTTAGACAGTATTCCAGGTTCTCACAGTCTCTATGCCTCTCGACTAATGAGGTATCATGGTTGGAAAAATTGGAAGACCTGGCCGTAATGCCAATTGACCACAATTCTGGCGATACGTATGTCTGTTGTAAGCTCATCTATTCTGATGCCATGAGATCTCAATTTTTGAACAACTGTGGTTATGAGATCGACCTAAGAAACGAGATGCAAATTCTCGCAGGTATCAAACAGGAATTTATGAAATCCCCGTGCTCTCAGATAGCCCCCTGGGATAATAAGGGTAGGGTTCGCTCTTGCTATGTAGTTCCTAAGCATAAAGACATAGGACGATGGCGGCCTATTTCCCCCTCCTTCTCGGAACCAACTACCAGGTCTTGTCGTCTCATTGGTCGAGCCATCAATTCTTTGCTTTGGGCCTTGCCACGTCAGTTCCATTTCAACTTGCGATCCACCTCCTTGGTCAGAAACAGGATTGTATCTTTCAACAAGGTTGTGAGTAGGTTTTCACAGGGCTTTCTTCTGTCCACTAATTTTGATATCAAGGAAATGTTTACAAAACTGCCCCATGCCTCTATTCTGCAGCCCGTCGACTGGATCATGAGTCTGTTTTCTTACAAAGGCATCACCAGTATCTGCATGAACAAGTGCGGGAAGGAAACCTCCTTTTCTAAGAAGTCACCTGACACTACTTGGGTCCGCATTAAATTCTCCTCTGTTTTCAAGGTTGTGAAGTTCGAACTCGACAACACATTCGTTAAGGCAGGGTCTTCGTTTTTGCGACAGAGTACCAGTGTTCCCATGGGCAAGAGCTCTAGCCCCTTTTTAACTTGTCTGCTATGCTCCTTCGATGAATTCTCTGTGATCTCTTCCTTGGGTTATAACTCGCATTTTTTGACTGGGTTGCGGCTGGTTGACGATGTTGGCATTTCCTGTCCTTCCCCAGTATCTCTCTCTTCTACTTCAGAAAAAGCCTGCATGATCTATTCAACCTTTCTGAGAACTTATGACGACAACCTCTCTCTGTTGAGAACAGACGATGGGTCGGGCAGCCGGGACTTTTTGGGTTGTCGAATCACTTTTTCCAGTCTACTACCTTCAGTACGATGCATTACTACTTTGAAAAACAAAGACTTATTTTTTTTCCAATCATCCCATTCATATCCTTTCCAACCAAGACTTTCTTTCCTTTGGTCCACCACAACTTCAGAAGGGTGTGCTTTTGTGCCACTTCAGACGAATTTTAGCCCACTCCTCCGATTATAGAGGAGCGGGCTATAGCTTGCTCGTTTTGAGACGGGAGCTCCTACTCAAAGGCTTTCCCAAGCATTATTTCCTTAGGGCTTTAAAGGATTTTTCCAACAGCAGGGGTGGGGTCTGGGATGCGTAGGTCACAATTTTTTCCTGCATCTGATCAATTCCTTGCTTTGAGTTTGCTTTTGCTCTATGGCTACTGGAATTCCCTGAATCCCCCGTTTTAGTCTCTTTCTATCCTTTGGTACGCCCCCGACCATTACCATCTGGGCTCGCACGGGGCTCTGGAACTTGGTTTTCTCTGAACACTTTAGACTGGCTTCTTATTTGTTTTTTTCTGCTCCGCCTCCAATCACATTTTTTCGAAAACGGTTACGATATTTATTGGTGCAACCTGGCGGCCCTCTCCTCTCTCAGTAGTACCTTGTAATACTATTCCCCCGGGGTGACGCTAGTTGCTCCGTCGTGATGATATTCCGCCTGCCTCCGACTGCATTTGCGTTCCCCTCCACTGGACTTCTTCTTGCGCAAGCATGACTTTAAACCTTTGTCTGTTCTGTCTCTCCTTCTGACCTCTGACCTTAATTGTCTCTCTCCCATAGACTCTCCTCTTAGTGCTCTTCTTTCTCTTCTTGACCCCTCCTGCTGCGCTAGTTCCTATCAATGGGTTATCCTTCCAACGGTGGATACCGGTGCATACCAGGTCTTTTTCGTCATTTTCCACGTTTTGATGAACCATTCGTCTTTAAAAGCTCTCATCGCAGGTGCATGGTTTTACGAACGTACTTCTTCCAAGAATATTACTCTGGAAGCGACTCGGCTGGTACTCAACGCACGACTTGAAGGGACGTGCTGCTCCTCCCCCGACCCATAGTCACCTCATCGGTTATTCTTCCTTCTCTATTAATTTCCCTATCTCTTTCTCTTTTTTTTTTTTTTTTTCTCTCTCTCTCTCTCTCTCTTTCTCTCTCCTCTTGATGATTGTCTAGACCTTCCGTCTACTCATTTTTCTTACCATGTGCTTTTACTTTTATCTAAGTCGTTACTGGATCAGTTTTCCTTCTGTCTTCGTGGATGCAAAGTGGTTTGTTTTTAGTGTCTCTGGTTATGAGTGGTCCCATGAAGCTTCGTGATGACATTCCTTTCGTATTTGAGGTGGGTGAGGTAGCATATAGGTATGCGCAAGTTCTTTGTCCACTGATGCGGCCGTTTCTGGCGGAATGGCTGAAACGCATATGGACTATCGCCACCATGATGTACTTTCACGTTTTTTGAATAAGAGTGCCTGATACCTTTTGCGCATACTTGTCTATGACTCTTTGTGCTCATTTTTGGCCATTCTCTCTATCACTTTACCTCTCGTTCTTCTCCTGTTCTATGAGTGTCTCTGTTTTTTTCGTCTCCTTCCACGTCCAATCCTATCGCCCTTGAGGCTCTGCGCATTTGTCGTTGCGTTCCCTTTCTTCTTTCTTCTTAATGCATTAGCACCTGAGTTGAGAGAAGAGCGTAGGAAATTGGTTGAAAAAAAGAAGGTGGAGGTCAACTACTTGGGTAGAGATTTCTCTGCTCAAATGAAAATGTCACTTTCTAGTTGTAAAATGGGGTTTGCAACGACGGGTTGTGTATACACGAGTGTGTACATCATTCAAGTGAAAATCAGAGTCTTAATTGAGTCTAGAGCATAAATGATTCTTCTTTCTCAGAAGACCGTGGAAGCTTATGATATGACTATTGATGGAAGCTCAAAGCAAAAATTGAGTAACACCGTTGCAACTCTTTACTTGATAATCTTCATTGATAATTTGACCATTAAAGTTGAAACTATTTCCTCTGAATTGTCGGGATTTGTGGTTCCAGAATTGGATCATGATTGTATCTTGGGTACCTCTTTCTCACATAGGCTAGAAGTCATTAAATTCCTTAGTCATTATGAATCATCATGGATCGTACTGTAGGATCCAAAGACTGCTAAAAAACAAACCTTCATGGTCTGTACTTCAAATCATTATGAACATGAGTTGTCAGTTAATTCAATTTAAGGGACAAATCTGTTGAGAAGATTAAGAAATTGAGGGAAAATGGTAAACAAAAGACTAAAGAATAAATTTCAGTGGGTATCAATTGGATATCGAAGATGGTAAAAGTACTTGGTTGACTCAAAGATGATGATGACCAAATTCCTGCATGAAATTTTTTTGTTGAATCTGCCAATGGTGAAAAAATAAAATTGAGGTTTACATCAGCTCATCCGTTTTAAGAAAAATAGTCACCGAGCTAAAGAGGAAATAAAAACCAAAAGGGTGAAAAAAAATCGGGTGGTCGTTTTAATAAAAAATGACTATGACGAGACACTGAAAAAAGAAAGGAAAATCATCAAAACACTAAAGGAGTCGACAAAAGTTGGGGATATAGTCGTAAGAAAAGATTTGACATAATGAAAATTAACTCAGATCAATTCATTCGGCCTAGGAAAAAAATATATATCTTCAAGGTACGTCAAAAATTCTCTGGTGTTTTTTCCTTCAATGATGAAGAGAGAAGGCGATTGGATGTAGATATGATTAAAATGATAAAGATCTGAGCAATATATCATATGCCTTGAAATGAGAGACCGAATAAATATGCACAAAAGAAAAAAGCAGAAGTAATCAAATATCTTGATAAAAAAATTGTTTATAATGTTGTCGAACCTGGTTACGAACCCTATGCTTATCACCGATTTTGCTTCCGAAAAAGAGGTGGTTTGAAATGGATACAAATTCTTCAAAAGCTCAACTTAGTGACGGTATATGATGAAGGTAACCTCCTTAATGCCGATCTTCTTTCTGAGTCTATTGCTGGTCAATAAATTTATTCGTTAATTGATTTATATTCCGACTATGATCAAATTTTCATTTATCCCACCATCCGACCCATGACTGTTATACACAAACCAATATGATTTATTCGCATATGTGTGGTGCCACAATGGTGTAGTAATTTACTAATTGTATGGAAGTGGTACAAAAATATATGATTCACTAACTAGTTTTTATATTCATGATAATCCAAAAGAAAAGTTTGTACTAAGAGAGGAGGCATTGATTGATGATGGTGTTAGAAAGTTTGTCTGGGAGCATACTGATGGTGTAAAGTTGGTCCAAAAAAGACTTCAGCAACACAATTTGACTGTCACCGGACCAAAATCTCTTATCTCTCAGATAGAAGCGACCATCCTAGCCTTCAAATGCTTCTCTTAAGGGAGAAGCCCAAACCCCAAGAAGATAAATGAAATTATAAACTGACTCTGACCTCTTAAATGATTGACATACGTCAGAAGCTTCTTGGATGTTTGTTAGATTCTAGAGAATCTTCATTCCTAATTTTGTTATGCTTGCAAAACACCTAAGAGAGATTGTAAAATAAAGGTTTGATTTGTCATAGACAGAGAAAAGACAAATTCTTGTTAAAGATATACAAGAGAATTTCAAAGATGGAGGTGTGGTACTAGAAGTACCTTATTATGATGATGAAGAGGAAAAACTATTTATCATCGAGGCCTGTGTAGCACACCGAACATGTTCGGAGCTTTTCCGAACGTCCGAACATGTTCGGGTGTTCGGTCGAACGCCTCCCGAACGTGTTTCACCGAACATATTAAAAAAAAAAAAAAAAAAAAATTTCTGTTTCTTATTTTACTCGAGTTTGGTTACGAATTTGAGAATATCTCCCAAACAAAAGTTGTTTGTATTATTATTTTACATAACATATATGTTTTTTAGATTTTTCGAAGAACTTTTTTTTTTTTTTTTTATGTTCACGTTCGGAGAGTTTCGACGCTCGTTCGCGTTCGGTCCCGAACGTTCGGGTTTGGTCATCGAACCCGAACAGAATGCTACACAAATCGAGGCAAATGGAATGCCGGTTCGTGTTGGCGGTGTGCTTGTACAAAAATATGAGAATGGTAGGGAAAAAAACTCTAAGGAACGAGAGCATGACTCTCAACTCACTAAAAGAGACTACACCCAACTCAAGAAAGAAATATTGATAATTATCCACTGCCTCAAGTGTTTCAGTCACTATGTGCTTGGAGGTAGATTCATTCTGAAAGGTGATGCATGTGTAGTGATCTGTGTCATAAAAAAACACCAAAGGTAAATCTAACAGTAAGCAAACGAATTGCCTTTATATAAACCTTTAACTTTAAATTGAAAAATATTATAGCCAAGAAAAATCGACCAGATGGCTTGAGCCGAATTAAGTGGAGATCAGGTAATGATGCAGGTATTAATGAGTGCATGCTTATGCTCAATCGCGGACTAAGGCGCCAATCCTATCTGGACGAGATGTTCCAGAAGGCCAAGAGGAACATTTTTTTTTTTAAATGCCACTTCACCCAACCCACTCAAAATTTTCTTAGTACATCATCCCACTCTAAAAAAAAAAAAAAAAAAGGTTTGAAGCTAATCGAACCCACCCAAGCATTTTTTCGAATTTTTTTGCCCATGGCGAACCCACTCACCACCCGTAAAAAAAAATTCAAACAGACTCACCTGCATACGCAAGAAAATCATTGTCCGCCCACACCCGGGATGTAATATTTTTTCATGCGCAGCCGGTCATGCCCGCTATTGTCTATCCCTTCGAACATTTACAGACAATAGGTCATTACGACGTGACATGACAAAATAAAAAAAAATCGATCTTTAAAATGCAATCGATCTTTAAAATGCAATCGATCAAGAATTAGCCATCAACATTCGGCTTTTGAAAGGAAATAAATATAAAATTAGTTGTTAATACAAGCAACACCATGTGAAAGAGTTACAAAACTTGACAAGGAGACTAAATTGAAACACATTCGTCCGTGCTCAATTCCAATTTCCATTTACTTTCATGTACTCAAGTCCTTGTTTGATCGAACAAACAATATCTCGTTGACCATCGAACCGCTAAGCAAGTTCTTTTTTTTGTCAATGCATTCCCTGCACCAGAGAAATTGCACTCGCTCTTCAAGCTCGAGGCGGACACACATAACACCGCACGAGCAACCCGCTCCATAATAGGCAAAGGAGGATGCAATACCTAGAGATCCTCCGTTGTGACTGCCATCCCTTTGGCTTTCCATCAGGGAAGGAGGTCGAAAGTTTGTTTCTCCCCCTTTATCAACTTCAGAGTGAAATAATATTCAAGCTCTTTTTGAATCCTCTCAGGTATGCTCATCTTCAATGACTCATCCCTTCTTGGTATCTCTACATCCTCCTCATCAGAGCTACACATCCTCGAACTTCCCCTTCTTCTTTTTGTTGGACGCTCCTTAACAACCTCGACCTCCAGCACGTTTGGTTCAATGTCAACACTCGGGGCAACACTTTGCATGATTGCCTTCAATTGATACTTCCCTCATTTCACTTGCACGGATGAAACTTCAAAAATCTCCAGCCTGTCTTTCTGACGCGGATCAAGCAAGGCAGTAACGACATGCAAATCTTCCAATGGTCACTTCTCCGTTATCATATCTCTGATTAACTTCTTAATGGCTACAATGTTGTCGGAATCGGATGGAGTGACAACTTCCTTTCTCAATTCATCTTTGTCTGGCACATGTTTTGTGCAAGTCTTGTAATGTTGAAGCAACTCGTTTCTCTCGAAGACCACCCACTGAAGAGCAGGTTGAAGATAACTCTAAAGTTTTAAAGTGGCCTCTTCGAAACGATCAGGGAAATGTACTAGTTCCTCTTACCACTCCCTGTTGATTTGTGCAATCAAAATAGCCCTCGTCCCACATTTGTTTAACAAAAGATTTAAAACTTTCTCATAACTTTTACTTACACTCTTGAGCATACGCAATAATGAATTTCATCTTGTCTCGTTCTCCTACTTTAGCGTAGTTTTCAACGCCCTTTGCAGGTTCGACTGCTTGACATGTCGAACGAGTTCCTTGCAATTATCAATGAGCAGAAATACCTCTGGTACGGCGTCCTCAAATTTATAAAATGGTGCAGACTTGATTCCGTTTGTCGAGGTTGTGGTCTTGTTGAGCCTAGTAGTCAACACCGTCACAATCTTGTGATCGTTATACGACAACCATTTAAAATTACTCTGAATGCCCTCACCACCGCACATGTTTGATCCACTATCTGAACTCACTACACACCTTTCATTTTCATTAGACCCAAAGTCCTGAAGACATTCCTTGAATGTTTTCAAGACACCGACAACGGTATGTGATTCATCGTGCAATGGTCGTACTTGAAGTGTTCGTACGTGCAGTTTGAAAGCGTTGTCGATATAGTGAATTGTGATGGACATGAAAGACGTTCTCTTGATCGAGTCGGTCCACAGGTCAACTGTAAACCCTGCATGCATCTTATCGGCAACGTGTTCTTTCAACTTTGCTTTGACAACATCACGAAGTGATTCCTCATTGCCTATCACCTGACGGTTAACTGTGAAGCGTGAGGGAATCAAATCATCTACCTTCATGCCCCTACCGACAATGATCCCGATGTCAAGAATAACTTGCAAGTACCGACACAACCTTAGAACCTCTACAATGAAAAATGGTCTCACATCCTCACAACACATCATCGCAGTTGCCCTTGCAACTTGTCTCTTTTGCGACGTGGTCGGTTGGACCGTTGTTGCAAATAGACGTACTGCACCGGCATCGGCTGCCACTAGCCAACATCCGTGGTCGTTCAGTGAGCTAGTACCATGGCACATTTCGTATGTGTAAATCGCGTGACACTTCGTAAAAGCCACATAACCTGAGTCAAACTCCTTCACACGTGTTCCATCCGTGTGGCACATATGGGCAAATCTCTGCCAATATTGGGCAGAGCTGACTCTCTCTTCTTTGAGCATACTGGTTCGACAATGGTAGAAGACACTACAGTTCGAAACTATTATTTTGGATGCGGCTGCTGACTCGGAATGAAGTTCGACACTGTTATTCCTAGGTACAATACTTGGTTTGTCCCAACAGGACTGAGCCATCAATACTGCCATATTTGCTGAGGCTGGCGGAGGATATCCTGGGTTGGAGGCTCTGGTGCTACTAGTACCGATGGTGCCAGCATTGCGTGTCAAGCTGGGTGTCGGTGATTCAGAGGGACTGGCCGATTCACTTGACTAGCGCTAGAGGTCGCCCGTGCGGATACAAAAGGGGGGACCAACAAGACTCAAAAAGGGAGAAGGGGAGAGGATGACGGAATCACTTTTGATGGGCTATGGGGGAAGTGTACGAGGTGTTCACCACGCACCATTGTTTTGGTGGGCATATGCTTGCACCCTGGCGCTTGTGAAAAGGAAGGAAAGAAAAGCGAATCAGGTAACAACAAACGGAAGTGTGTGTGGTGTACGTCGCGCCTCTCACCTCCATAAATCATCACTGATGGGCACTTAACCCTTGTTTGTGCTCACCCATCCGAAGGGCGGCCATGACCATCGCGAGCCCGTGTAGGGATGGGCAACCAATCGTAGAAGATGGAAATGCACCTGGGATGAGGGACATTTGTAAGAGACTGGGTTCCATTGCAGGCTTTATGTGAGCAACTTCTAAACCAGTTGGCGTTGGTTTACTCTCGCTAACACCTTAACTTCATTTGTGTCTATCCGTACTTGAGAGTAGAAGGTTCTGCTAGAGGTTAGGAATGAGAGGAACGGCGGGCTATGGCGTGACAAAGATGATGTCCTGTTTTCTTAACGTTGGTGTCCGTTCGTGACTGGTGGATGTGATCTCTGTGACTCTTTAGGAAAATTGTCAGCAAGTTACGTCACCCAGAGCGGTAGATGAGAACAAGGATTCATACCTACCCAAACTTAAGCACTGCATTCGACCTTGATCACGAGTGTTTTTTGTATGGGACTGTCGGTGTGTAACCTCTCGTGGAAATTAATGAGAGGGCGGGATGTCATGAGGATCGCAAGAGCAGGAAATCAAGCACAGAGATGAAGAGAGAAGAAGGTGGAGGGAAAACGAGAGAGAGCATAAGGAGGAAGAAAGAGAGAGAGCGTGAGGGTTGAATGCTCATTGTATGAGCGGTAAGTGACTCTAACCATCAATCAGTAAGCGAATCTTCCGAAACAAGCAAGTGCGGTTCACAAGATGGAAGCATGTCTGGAAAACCTTCCATCGAGACATTAAATCGATTCGTGAATCTGACTTTCGCACGGGCCGGATGCATCCCAAATTCGAAGAAAAAAAAAGTAGTATTGGTTTAAATGTGCGAACGGAAAATGATTCCGCAAAAAGAAAGGTACAGCGCTACTAATAATCAACTTTTTATCACTTGAAGCGATACTCGGCGAATCCGGTATATCATCAAGCCTAAGTACCAATCCAATTGATTCTTATGAAGAAGGTAATTATCTTTACCTCGGTGCTGGAGCTAGTCTCCTTGATGAAAGAAGTACCTAGACAATGGCTCTAGGAAACGAGCTCCGAACAGAACGAGATATCTTGTTCCTTAAAATAAAATGTGAGGGTAAAAATTTTCACTGTAGATTTCAACAAATTACATAATTAGCAGCCATAATTTACTGCTTTTCCAACACATGAATACCTCAAAGGGTGATTGATACTCCATCAACATCATGTCACCTCTCATAAATTAGAATTGGGTGATAACTCTATTTCAAAACCAAGATTAACGCCTCGTTTGTATTGGAAAATTTACCCTTGAGACTTTCAGTCTCAATATGAGAGAGAAGTTCAATCTGTGAGTAACACATGTCGCCTGGCGTGTGAGTCAACGGAAGGAAATGGGAGAGAAAGAGCTTTAACTACAAAAAAAGAGAAGATTCATTCTATGAACTGGAAGCATTGATTCGACGAGCAATCTTCATGTTTGGGAACTTTTGTTTGATCTCTCGGTCAAAAGACTCACTTTTCTTCCTATCCAGTAAATGAGATTTGTGACTTATAGAACAAAGTCAAAGAGATTGTTGAATAAAGCAAAATCTCAATCCCTCGTCTAAACCTGCTCAGTAGTCCAAGAGGAATGAAAGTAAGCTTACGCCATCTTAAGTATTAATCGAGTCTGGGCAGGTCACATAGAACACGACTGCAATCCGCCATGGACACTGGTCGTTTAATGCTTCTCATTCATCAGTAGCAACATCCACATGTCTGTTTTGGAATATGGTGTCATTGTCCACATCTGGGCATGTCTCACGGATCACGACTCCACCGCTCCTTATTTGCTTGTAACTAGGTCAATCAGTGAACTTGTGTTGCACGCAAGGGTCTCATTCAAACTCCTGGGCTAGACAACGCTAGTATGTGAGCGACCGAATAAACACTTTCCATAAAAAGAGAGAGAGAGACGCAATGGTAATTTGGGAATCATGGTAATCAAAGGCCTTGAAAGGTGGCAAAATTTTGACCTATTGGACAAAATTTGATATCTGCCCCTAGGGTTCTGTCGAGATCTGACGCGAACCCTGGCAACCCGAGGGAGTTTGTCCACACTTCACCAATGTCACTGAAACTTCAGCGCATTCCTATGTTTGTCATGTGATTCTGAGAACGTGAGTTTTTTTTGACGGAAACCGAGCGGCCATGAGCGGGTCGGCTTAGTATATGCAGTTGTCTTTAAATTTGTTGGTCGACAACTTATTATTAATGTTTAATTTCCTTTCGGTCGGAGGCTCTGTTACCTAAAAGACTTAGATACAGGTATGAGAATCAAAGAGCGATTTGCCTTCTTTGTAAATGGTGTATAAGGAGCTCGAACGTGCTGCAATGTACATGTCAGATTATTGCATCAGTGGGCAGTGTGTGCATCGAGTAGTTCGTTTGCGATTTGAGCAAAACAAAGTTCCAACCTTGTCCTAGGGGTTACACTTCGTTGTCAGCGTCGTCAGTATAGCATCATTTGAATTTTGGCAACATCCTAAATCTGGGATAACTACAAGATCGCTTTTCAAGGCAGGCGATTTATTGAAGTTTCGCTGCTCACCCAATTCCAACAGAGATACCCTATTCAAGATTTAACTATAGAATCCAAGAATTGATAGCTCAACCGTTGACCCTTACTTCGGCGTGCTTCAAAGTCAGTTAACTTAAACTTTTTTTTAAGGGGTAACTGCACGGGAGTCACGAAAGCATTTTGAAATTGTATTCCAAACACGGTTTTTGCAGTTTAGTCACGTGAAAAGTTTAAAATACAGTCCAAACTCCACTTTGCAAAAACGTCGGGCCGCGGAGTTTGAGACTGCAGTCTTGTTAGCCACACGGGAGGGTCTGGTATAGGCCATGGCACAGGCCTGGAAAAGAGGAGAGCACCCCTGACTTTGCGCCGAATGAAGTCCAAAGTCGGGGGCAGATTCATTCAGGAATGGTATTCTGTCTCTTTCTCCCTCTCTCAGAGAGAGAGAGAGAGAGAGAGAGAGAGAGAGAGAGAGAGAGAGAGAGAAAAAAAAAGGGCGAATCGGGCGCCCACTTTCCAACGCATTCAACACAAAGTCCTAACCAGATTCATTCAGGAATGGTCCGCAAGAGAGAGAGAGAGAGAGAGAGAGAGAGAGAGAGAGAGAGAGAGAGAGAGTGGGACATTCCTGAATACAACTGTGATTTTGCGCTGCATCCTCGGACATCACTCTGAGCCTCTAAGGCCCACGATTTTGCCATGAATACTCCACAAAGTTGGGGCAGATTCATTCAGGAATGACCCGCTCTCTCCCTCTCTCTCTCTCTCTCTTTCTCCCCTTCTCTCTCTCTCTCCCTCATACACACATGCACACACACGCACACTCAAGCGCCCATTCACACACAATGAAAGCGGGTGGGGTGGGGGGGCAGTCCTAAACGAATCTGCCCCGGACTTTACGCTGAATGAATGCAGTGGACAGTCGAGGGCACATTCATTCAGCTCTCTCTCCTTCTCTCTCTCTCTCTCTCTCTCTTTCTTTGTATGTGTGCGTGTGTGTGTGTGTGTGTGTGTGTGTGTGTGTGAGAGAGAGAGAGAAAGAGAGAGAGAGAGGGAGAAATAGAGAGAGCGGGCCATTGATGAATGAATCTGCCCCAACTTTGCGCTGTATATAGTGCAAAACCAAGGGCAGCATCCCCATGGATGCAGCGCAAAATCGAGTCTGAATTAAGGAATGGGCCGTTCTCTCTCTCTCTCTCTCTCTCTCTCTCTCTCTCTCTCTCTCTCTCTCTCTCTCTCGCCCCCCCTCTCTCTCTCGCACACACACACACACACACCGCGTCCAGACGTGTGTGTGTGTGTGTGAGAGAGAGAGAGAGAGAGATAGTTGAATGAATATGCCCTCGACTTCGCGTTACATTCATTCAACGTGAAGTCCAGGCCAGATTCATTTAGGACTGACCCCCACCCTCTATGTGTGTGTGTGTGTGTTTGAACATGCGTGAGTGTGTGTTTGTGTTTGTGTATGTGTCTGAGAGAGAGAGAGAAAAAGCGGGCCATTGCTGAATAAATCTGCCCCCACTTCGCGTTGTATTCAGGGCAAAATCAAGGGCAGCAGCCGCATGGATGCAACTCAAATTCAGGGGAATCAGGGTTGTATTCATGAATGACCCGGTTTCTCTCTCTCTCTCTCTCTCTCTCTCTCTTTGGCTCGCTCGCTCGTGAGGGCTATTCCTGAATGAATCGGGTCTGCACTTTGTGCTGAATGCGGTGTAAAGTGGGGGTTTGATTCATTAAGGAATGAACACACACCCCCTCTGCCTGAGGCAACGTGGGGAGAGGCCTGAGGTCTGCAGAGGAGCGCAAGGAGAAGAATTGGGCAGCCATAGCCAAGGCAGGGAGCACTCTGCTCCCCTCCTCTCTGGCTGGTGCTGGTCACACGGGACAGACCCAGTGGCACTGCGGGACTACGGCAGTACGGCACAGTGAAATTTGGGCATGGGGCCCAAATTTTACTAATTTTGGCCTGCTGTTTTTTTTACGGCCGCGGTACGGAAGTGCTGCCGAAATTTTGCGGCGACGGCATGGGTTTTTACGGCAGTGGTACGGAAGTGCTGCAGAAATTCTGCGGCGGCGGCACAGGCTTTTTACGGCGGTGGTACGGAAGTGATATTGAACTTTTGCGGCGGTTCGGGTTTTTCGGCGGTGGTGCGGAAGCGCTGCCGGATTTTTGCGGCGGCGGTTCTGTTTTTTTTGGCGGTGGTGCGGAAGCGCTGCCGTTTGTTTTTTGCGGTGGTACGACATGGTGAAGCGCTGCCATTTTTTTTACGGTGGTACGGCACAGCGAAGCGCCGCCGTCTTTTTGCGGTGGTACGACACGGCGAAGCGCTGCCCTTTTTTTACGGTGGTACGACACGGCGAAGCGCCGCCGTCTTTTACGGTGGTATGGCACGGCCAAGCGCTGCCGTTTTCTTTTTTTTTTCACGGGGCACGGTGCGATGATGTGCTGCCATTTTTCGACGAAAGTTCGGCACGGCAGTGGAATTGCGGCACGACAGTGGGACGTGCGGCGTGGCAGTTGAGTTTTTTTTTACGGTGCTGAAAGGTTTTTGTTGTGGCGCGGCGTGAAGGTTTGTTACCATTGGTATGTACAACAGCAACAGCGTGACATGGTGGCGGTTGACGGCATGCGACGGTACGAAATCTGAGTGCGACACGCGGGTTTATTTTTTTATGTGGCACATGAGATAAATGTTTTGTAGTTGGGACTACCCAACACTTGCGGAAGTGGGACTGGACTACTTGGGACTGCCTGGATTCAGTTGGGACTGACGTGGGATGCGGGCTGTCATTTGCGGCGGTCCCAACGCAGACGGTTTTGAGATTTGGCACCGGTTTTATTTTTTTGAGAAGTGTAGCGGAAATGGTTTTTGACTCAATAGTCATTCGGCGAAGTGTTTGACAGCATGGGACCACCTAGAACCGCGTGGGACCATCTGGGACCGCTTGGAACCAATTGGGACTGATGTGGTACCAGAGTGAGTGTTATTCTGGGACGTGTGCGGCTCGCCGCTTTCACGCTTGGGTTACCGCGGATGAGGCATGCGAGTGAGAGGTGGTTTGATCAAGATTTTCCTTGAGACTACAGCTTTCGGTGGCACACACGGCTTGTTGGTTGGCTTTCTTGAGTGAGTCAGAGCGCTTCTTCGGCACCACTTCACTCAAGGTCAGTTGACTGACTCAGATTACTCTTCACAGCTGTGTGAACCCACACTTGCTTGACCCTGTTCATTGAATGTTCTTTGAAAACGGCAAAGGAAATGTGTGTTCGTATGTGAATGGGGAGGTCTGACTTGGATATGGAATTGCGTTGGTTTCCTTTGAACTTGTCTGTTTTGCTTTGCGATCTGTGCAGGTAGGTAGAAGGATGCTTGCAAAAAAGATTGATTATGTCCACTGGGGATCAAGAAAAGGATTGTCCTCTTTCTACTTTTCGCCTGCCTGATGGTTAGATGGGCTTGTTGTTATGAAAAATATTGATTCAGTGTTTGTCGTGAACGAATCCGATTGAAAGAAAGCAGATAAGGCCGAACAGACTTGGATTTTTTTTTCCGATGATTGACCCATTCTATCCCGAATGACCCTATCTACCTATACCTGTCCAAATGTTTTTCATTCTATATCTCCTCTTTTTTTTTTTTGTCCAAGTTACTCTGGACTTAGGAGAAAATAAGAATATATGAAAGCTACTTGCAGTGGACACATCTTCTATCTCTAGGAAACATCTGGGGCGGGGGTTCGTTGCTTTAGGAGCCGACCCTGTTATTGACCCAAAGTGGACCGTTCTACGAGGGGGTACTTTGCCGATTCGGTGGAGACGACCCTACTTCTGAGATCCGAGTCTCGTGCTCGAGCAAGGAGGAGGAGTACCCCAGACCACTTCCTAGAGGGAGAGGCATGCGACATCTCAAGCAATGCCCCTGATAAAGAATTATTCGCAACGCAGCCTTTCATCCAATAAAATTGAGAAAGTATGGAGACAGGTTTAAGCGTGTATAATTTTCAGTTGGCGGTAGGTTGGAATGAATGACATTGGCAACGTGTCTCATCAAGTGAAAACTAAGGCAGTCCGACTACCTTGTCAGCTGCATCTATGTTATTGCCTATAGCCAACTCCTCGTTGGCAGTTGTATGATTGTTTTGTGGAGTTCGACCCGAGGTGGTTGGGGTTTATTTTGATATTGTATTATTGAATATTTCATATGATAATTCGATTTCTTTCAAGTATCATTTCAGATTGAATATTTATTCGTCTCGGCTACAATCGACTCCTTTGATATAATTATATGTGTGGTTGTTATAACTTTCGCTTGAATATGTGTTAAAGGGACTAGGATTAATGTTGGGTTTCACGCTTGGTTGAGACAGTCCTAGTCGACCAACGTCCGCTTTGTACCTAGGAGATCAGCGCCCTAGTAACGGACGGCGATCGGGTCCACTTGGCGTTAACCGAACATATCTACACTACGGCGAACGAGCAAACGACCTCGGCTGACCTACCTCTGCAATTGCATCTAAAAGCTTTCGCACGTGGGTCAGTAGCTCGGTAGGGATACGCCCCTAAGGGTGGTGACAACCCCTTAGGGATGAAAGCTTATGCCCCGCGGAAACCTATCTTGTCGTAGGGGACCGCGGGATGTACAGCTGGCGCACCCGGCTAGAGCGGCGAAGGAGCGATGCAACCATGTCCGTCTCGGCGGTTTGCGAAATGTTATGCGTCGTTTCCCGAGTTGTCTCTTGATGATTTTTGTTTTGGTTATCTCCTGCGTGACATGGCCGAGAGGGCCCTCGTTTCACGCGAGGGTCAATGCGCTCGACACCGGGCCCAGCGTCCCTTATAATGGAAATACATTCATGATTGATGATCATTGATGATAATTTGGGATGATTGAGGATCATTTAGGATGATTTAGGATGATTCAGGATGATGGAGTGGATGATTGAGATCATGAAACAGAGATAGATGATGACTAATCAGAATGATTGTCTACCCAACACTAAAATACTATCCTATCCCTAAATTCTTGTATCCATTCCAACCAACCAATCACAATTGAGCCTGTGTTGTGCACCAATCAGGCCTCTTCCTGGTCTCACACCCCATTCTGGCTCGGTTACAGGGCAACGCTACCTACCCAGCTCCGACCATCGTCGGCCAGATTGTAGCCATTAGTCAAGTTAGCAGATCACCTTCCTCCCTCGGCAATCCAAGACCTCTATACAAAGCCTTAAACTCCTACTAAAGCAGGTTATAGGGCACCGCCCCAGCGCCGACCAGCATCGTTCTAGCGCCAACTCAACCTGGCCATTTACACAAAAGGGATCAATTAGGAAATTAGCTAAGCTAGAATGCCAACTAGAAATCTAGGATCTGATAATATCAAAATCCTGATAAAAAACCTTTCTGATGATGAAATTTGACGAGTACCCTGAGATGATCACTGAATTGGTGGATCATGATGAGGATGCTGATGACTATTCCTCTCCACCCCTCCCCCTCCTCCATGTGCTCTCCTCCTCTCCCCTCGTTTCCTGTTCTCCTCTTCTCCTCTCGCTGCCTCCGCTGATCTGAACCCCACTATCAGTATGAAGTTCCTATCAGCCCCAACGAGAGAGATATCCTCCCCATTCCCTTCTGCCTTGAAGTAACCAGTTCCCCCAAAAGGTGTACCTCAAATCTAACACTCTGACCTAGTCTGCCTCCGTCAGGATATAATTTGCCCCCATACATATCTCCTAACCCCAGCCTAGGTCAGCTCCCATCATCTGCGTCTACTCCCTAGAGGGCAATCACCTCCCACCTTGTGATACCCCTGCGGAGTAGCGCTCCCTTCCTGACCAACCTGTCTACCAACTAGACCATAACCAATCTGGGCAAAGAGAGTATAACCCACCAACACAAAGATATCTACTGATTGACGGAAAAAAAAAAAAAAAAAAAAAAAAACCTTCGATGATGATGATGATGATAACGATAATAATGATGATGATGATGATGATGATGATGATGATGATGATGATGATGAAATAAAATTTGCGAAAAATAAATAAGGAACGTTTGAACTTGTGATACCCTAATGGCACCGATGTGGTAGATTGACAACACTATTGCTGTAATAATAAAATAAGATGACAATGATAACTAGGAAGATAATGACCAGTGAACATGATGACCCATTGACCCATAATGAAGAATTATGAATTGATACACTTTAGTATGAATGACTCCGGATGATGATTCCCCGCAGAGATGACAATGGTGATAATCTTGATGCTCTTGATGTATAACCTGCACAAGATAAACAATCAAAAAAACAAAAATGAGCAGCTCCCTTGATGATGACTCCTTGATGATCTTCCTCCTGAGAATGTGGGTAAGCGCTGTGATGACGTAGACAAGCGAAGTCCAATGCACTTCGGTCCCCTTGGGGCAAACTCCACTTTCTTCCACCGACATTGGCATTGCACCAACTCGCTTAAGCATTACAGTCTCCCAAATGGGCGTTAGCTGTGGAGTACTTTGTGTGGAATTCACAGAGAGACTGTTCGAGCAGCCGCCACCGCCACTGCTCTCCCCTCGTCACTGTGACTTAGACCAGATGCCTCGTCAACCCGTGACGTGGCTTGGCCTAGTGCCTCTGGTTTCCGCGTGTGCATTAAGCGCTCACTCTGACCACTACACCACTTCTGTCGTATACCATTCACGCAACTTTTGGGTGCTCATGCCACATCAACGCTCACATCCCCCACAAGCAGCCAGCAACCCGCCGCATGCAAGTCACCAACGCCTCGCCACATGTGAAAAGCCAGCGCCCCGCTACTCGCTTGTGACCAACGCCTCGTCACCCGTAGTGTTGAGAGCTAGCCAAAAGTTAGTAAAAACGGTGGAAGCAACTCAAGACCGAGAGAACAAACAACAAGCGATCAGGGCCTTTACACAAACATGGTTAGAACCCAACCGTAAAATGGCAGACGTGCAACCCGATGGCAGATTGGTTTGGAAGAACTGGGCCGCGTAAGACCACCAGTGGACATACAGACCGGCGAACTGCTTCCCACCACCTCTTCCCGGATATCCGCACCGAGCGCTAAGTGCCATGAAGCAATAAAGGCAGGGCTTTACCCCAGGACTGCGGGGACTGTCCCTCTCCTTCACCACCTATACAATTCCCCCCTCCTTCCGCGCCTTTGCCGCCCTCCCCTTTGCCCTCCGCCACACCCCATACAACCCTCACACCGCCCCCTACATCCCCTTCACAGCCCTCCCCAATCCTGCCCCAGCCTCCCCCTTCTGTCTCATCGTCATCTCCCTCCTTTCCCTCCGCTTTGCCCCCTCCCCCTTTTTCTCAACCTGCTCCGCAAGTGGCCAGCCAGCCTAAGACAACAATTGTACACCACTAATCTGTCAGTTGACTATCAATACAGATGCCGGCCCGCCTCCCAGAGCAGGGGCTGGGAGAGCCATGGTCCAGGTGACACCATATACACAATAACGGACCAAGAGGTCTGTTCAATCAAATTAGAGACAAGAGATGAAACAAGGGTCTAAAGGCTAAAAACACACTCAGGGATATTTGGGGGGCTGCTGATTTCATAAAGTATCTTGGGAATGGTTAGTGAATAGGGGAGTTAAGGCTGACAATCATTACTGAGCAACTTCTAGGTGTGGGTAGGGCAAGATGATAGGAAAGGCCCACGCTTAGGGAAGGGGACTAAGAATAACTCCAAAGAGAAGTTGGGTGCTCTAAAGTAGAGTAACTGATGCTGGTAGCCCGGACTTGAATTTCACGAATGTATCCAAGGGACGCTGGACCCGGTTTCCAGCAGGTGTAGCTCCCCACCAATAGATGGAGCGGCCTGACAGACAAAGCCCCAACCCTGGCGGCTCTCTTACCGTCGCCGGGATAGAGGCCTTGCAAGAGGGCTTTAAAAGAAAAAGAAAAAAAAACCGTGTTTGGAATGCAATTTCAAACTGTTTTTGTGACTTCTGCGTAGTTACCCCTTCTTTTAATTTGCATATTCTTTTTGTAATATCTTGTAAAAATTCTAGTTCAGATTAAAAGGGCATCATGCTTCCGTTTAGAAAGCGGATATGTGACAAGCAACACTTGTTCCGTCTCCCTGCCAGCCACCGAGGACCTCTGAACCGGGGTCGGCAGGTGACAGACGCTTGTGCCCCTGACTTCAGCGTACGACAGGCGACCCCTCCCCGGGTTTCCTCACACTGAAGCCTGTCCCGCTGTCGGAGGGCATATGGGGTCCCGACCCTCCGCTGCGTACCAGACGCCTTCTCACTTACTTCCGTTGTGTACCGGTCGCCTGCTCAGGGAACCCCGTTGTGTACCAGCTCCCTACTCACTGGTACTACAGCGTGCCAGGTTCACTTGGGTGCCACTTCGTTGCAAAGTTGGTTGAGTCGGCGCTTCCACTGACAAAAGGGTGTTTGCGCCACTGGACTTTCCATTGGTCCACACAGGTTCGGCGCCCCGCTGTACAGTAGAGCACAACCGGCCTGTGACCGTGGTAGCCGATGGGCTCACTAAATGACGCAACAGTGAGGGGACAACATACCCTTTTCAAACTACGAGCCAAGTCCCTGTAGTCAGGTTATGGGAAAGAAAATAAAAATATAAACGAAAAGAAAATGAAAAATGGGTTGAGTTGAGGAAGGGTCGACACGTCTCGCATCTGTGTTTGCGTCTGAACTTTGTCTGTGGAACATGCGGATCCACTAGTTGCGGTGTTTTATTTTCCTCATTTTTCCTCCTGTTAATTTTTGTTCTTTATTTAATTTTTATGAATTCCCCTTTCTCCCTCCTCCGGCGGTCATTTCGCGGGGGAAATAACGGTTCAACTTCAAAATTTGATAACGAATGGAAGTCCTAGATTGCCCGACCATCGCTCTTCAGTCACCTTGAGTTTAACCGGTGAGGTGTTGTCTGCATGGGACCCCAAAATGGGAGCACCCGCGACCACATTTGTAGGAAACTCATCACCCCCGCGGAAGGTCATTAGTCCCCTCCTTACCATCGGACACGGGTACGCTTCAGGGGAAGCCCGGTGAGCTTACTTTGAAGGGAGGGAGGCGCCCATCGGGATCTCGTTATAGGCCGGACTGTTGGAGACTCATAATGCGTTGGTCCCCGATATTTGGGAAGGGCTCATGTACCACTACTATCTTAAACTACGACGAGGGAGATAAGAACAAGTTGAAGATCAAAGTGGAGGGCGCGAGAGCAAAGGAAACGAGAAGTGACCCAAAGCTACAGGCTATAGTTACAGAGGCCAAGAATCGAGCTAAGAGACGGTGCAGAAGGGACGGCATAACAACGGAGGTTCAAGTGACCATCGCATACCATGAGGTGGAGACCTCCGCTGGGGCCACTGAGCTGGAGCAACGCACAAGCGGTTATCGGGTAGCTGAAAATTCAGGAATGAAAATTCTAAAGTGAGAGTTTTGGGCAGTCTGAAAATCATGAATGGTCCTGAAGTGGTGAAAGGTCCGAAAGCCATGAAAACCACTTGTTTAGGCAGACTGCATCCTGAAGTGGTGAAGGGTGTCCTGAAGTGGTCAAGTGAGAGTTTTTAGTAGTATGAAAATCCTGAATCGTCCTGAAGTGGTGAAAGGTCCGAAGACCATGAAAACCACCCTTCACCATTTGAGGATGCAGCCTACTTAAACAGGTGGTTTTCAGGGTCTTCGGAGCTTTCACCACTTCAAGACCATTCAGGATTTTCAGACCTGAATGCAGTAAATGGTCCTGAAGTGGTGAAAGGTCCGAAGACCCTGAAAACCACCTGTTTAGGCAGGTTGCATCCTGAAGTGGTGATGAAAAATACGACTGTTGTTAACCTTCTCTCGAGCAACGACATCTGTATCGCGATTCGGAAGTTGAGAGTGAGGTCAGCGATCTGAATGCTGAAACCCAGTCCTAGCACGGGCAGGAACAAAGGTGGCGGTACCACCCACCTGCAGAGCCCGTGGAAGATGGCCCACGAGGCCAGTTCACGAAGAAGGCGGCAGGGTTGAGTCCGTGGGTGTGAGAGGAAGGTCCGGAGGTCAACGCGTGTCGATGGGTCTCTGAGAGAGGCGGGCGCTTATGAAGACACGGAGGAAGAAGGGCACAAGAAGAGAGAGAGAGAACAAGACGTCTTGCACACGCGATCTTCTCTTGTCTTGTAGACGCCAACCTTCCATGGTCATGTCAAGAGAGTCGTTGACTTTGGGCACACAGGAAGGGGACTAAGTGAAGCTAGCTAGTCTGTCAATGGTTGAGGGATCACTCTTTTGTTGGATCGACGGGGGATGAACCAGTGGTGAGAGGCTAAGATTGTGAATTACTAGGCAGGTGGTGAGACTCAAAGAAAAATGTTGACGTATGAGACCGCTCGCGCGGGAGGTGTGTTTAACATCCTCCTTGTCGTGTAATGATTACAACGTGGGCACACTCATTACGGGTGATATGTGGGTGATGCCAAAATAATCAAAAGTTGTGACCATGAGAGGAGAGAAGCTAAGAGAACTAAGCTAGAGAGGCGGCAAGGTGGTTATAAACAGCAGGTTTGAGTCTTGGTTGAAGAAGGGGGAATAAACCTCGTGGCGCTGAATGCATGAGAAAAGAGGAATCGAACCTTCAGAAGGGAACTCTGCATGTTCGTGTTGTTGACGTCATCCACTTCCACTAGCGATTACCGTCGTTCTCGGTCTCTGGAGCTGACGGATGAAGTATGTAATCTCCGCCAAGCGTTGCGAGTCTGATGACATCAACAAGTATTGGTCACAAACGATATGTTAAGCTCGCTAGCCCTCGCTTCTCTTTGGATCGTCGCCCTTATAGAGAGGAGTGTCATAAATTGATAGAAACAGGGTATAAGAGAGTGTCAGACACTAATAGTATGCATAGACATTCTAAGTAAGGCTTGACATGAGAGATGGGTGGGAGCAAACTGTTGTAATTATAGACTTTCTCATGCAACTTCTCATACTCAAAAAACCCTTAACTCTTCTCATTCAGGACGTTTTGCTCAAGGTGCTAGTCGAGAAGGATTTCCTTCTATCAAGTCTGCTTTATCTCTATTTCTAATCTTGATCTCTTGGACGAGTATCACTTGTCGTCTTCGGATCACAGGATTCGGTCACCCTCTAGCGGTCACTTGTCACCAGCCGAACAACGAACACGTCGTGCTGAGGGTCGTTTCGTAATTGTAACCTATCTGTAACCCTCTATCAATCACGGTTGAGAACATTCATCGTACATTCGCTAAAATTTGAGAGATCAATGGTCAGAA